TTGCTCGTGCCCCTTGCTTAGGCTTGTGTGTCTCTTGCCCTCCATTCATGGCTAGCAGAGAGAGATCAGTGCTGACAGGGAGACTACTGCTCTCTTGCACAGTTGCTACGGTGCTGTGGGCTGCTACTGCCTACCTGTTACCTTTTCCAGATCCGTCAAGGGACAGGGATTGGTGCAGATGTGTCTGTGACACAAGTCAGTGGTGCTTGGTCATGGGCACTGCTGAACTGTGCACCGAGGTCTTTAGTAAGAGACCTGCCAGTCAAACAGGAGAACATTAAATGCTTGAAGGCATTTTAAAAGCCGACACCTGGCACCTACTTGCTGCCCTGCTTATTTTGTGCAAGCAGTTAGCCAGGGCTAGGAGCTCTGCAGTTGTCAGCTGTATCTCAGTGTAATTTTGTACACAGGATTATTCACAATGTCCTGTTCCTTTGAACACAGTCAAAACAGCAGGCTGTTCCTTTGCTCAGAAATGTAGCTTTCTTCTCCCCACTTAGCTGTTCTCTTACGCATCACGAGGCAAGTCCAATATCCACTGAAGGTAATGGAAAGACATGGATGGTTTTCAATGGGAGTTAGAACAGGGCTTGGATAAATACACAATTCAGTAAGGCAGGCTTTAACTGCTTCTATTATTAGTAATAAAAACATTAGTTAACAGAGAGATTTGATCTTTATTTTTAAATGATTTCCAAGTTCAGAAAAGATTTAAACTGTATGCTCAACCAAGAGTTTGATTCTTGTACTGCAGGAGAAGGCTCAGAAACCTACTGTACCAAAAAGTATGAAATTGTGGGTTTTAACAGATCCTCCTAACAGACTGGCAGCCAAGCATTCCACAGCTGCTTGCTCCCTCCCCCCCAAGTGGGATGGGGGAGAGAATCAGAAGGGTAAAAGTGAGAAAACTTGTGAGTTGAGATAAAGGCAGTTTAATAGGTAAAGCAAAAGCTGTGTACGCAAGCAAAGCAAAATAAGGAATTTCTTCACTACTTCCCATCGGCAGGCAGGTGTTTGGCCATGTCCAGGAAAGCAGGGCTCCATCACACACAACGGTGACTTGGGAAGACAAATGCCATCACTCCCAATGCTCCCCCTTCCTTCTTCCCCCCTCCACCCCCAGCTTTATATACTGAGCATGACATATAGTATGGCATATCCCCTTTGGCCAGTTGGGGTCAGCTGTCCTGCTGTGTCCCCTCCCAACTCCTTGTGCACCTGGCAGCCCAGGCCAATGTCAGAAGCTGAAAAGTCCTTGACTGCTTAGCAACAACTAAAGCCATCAGTATGTTATCAAGATTATTCTCATACTAAATCCAAATCACAGCAGTATACCAGCTACTAGGAAGAAAACTAACTCTATCCCAGCAATAATTAAAGTTGTTGTAAACATTGTAGAAGGAGAAATCCATGCATTTTTTTCATAGATTGCCTTCCACTGTGTGTGCGCAGTGTTCAGACTCTTCCAACAAGCATCCTAGAAAGACTCATAATGTTACCCCCACCAGCCTAACAGGATCAGCCATACAACACAACCACCCCTTGACATATACTGTAGATGTAGCATATACCAGGCTACCCACTTTTCATACCCACCCTGCCCTGTGAGGTGGACCTGGAAAAGTTACCTGCTCTGGGCTTCCACTCGGATGTGGTCAGGAGGAAGAATTGAGTGTTTCACTTCTGAAACAGGTCTGTGCCCTCCCCAAGTACAGCTGACAAGCTAGACGGCGTCACTTCTCAGCCCACCAGCTGAACTACGCTGTGCCACAGCTTCGTCTTGATTCTTTGATTCTGTGAAGTTTTTCTAAGTAGAGTGCTATTAGTAATGACACCTGCAAAGGCCCTCTTGTTTCTTGTTGCTTTTTTCAGGGTATCTTTGCTGGATAGCTGATTTTGAGACTAGCAATCACATCTGACACACAGATGAGCCAGGCAGGAGCCCATGAGTGAGCTTATTACAAAAAGGGACCTTTCCTGATGCCGTGCTTCTTGCTCTGTTCCACAAAGGCTTATTGAGCTTTGTGCTGCAGGGAGCTAAAATCGTCACCCAGCAAACAGTGAAAGAAATGGCATTGGCTGGGGACAGACCATCATTTGTCCTTCTGAAAATATAGGAAGGCACTGGGAGACTATTAGCATTTGAGTAACTTCATTGCAAGGGGAGGCAAATTAACTTGGTGGAACAGTCTGTAGGGATATATTACGCATACACATGCCAGTTTTTATTCCAAGCCTGGCCAAGTAGCCTTATCTTAAAGTACCTAAGAGACAAAATTCAGCGAACAGCCCGGGTTAACTGTGTGGTGAAGATGTTCCCTCAGACCTCTTACTTCTCTTATTTGTCAGGTTGTTGGATAATTTTGAGCCAGCGGAGCAAAGTTTCTCTGTTTCCTAAGGTTTTCTTCTCTTTTTCCTATTTTTCTACTCTATAGGCAACACAGGGTGATTTGCAGGTTTTCTTCTCTATCGCTAATAGAGTTTTTTCACAAAACCTGCCAATTTGGCCAGGCCTGGAGCTGGGCTGAATGAATAGGCTCTTTCTGATGGGCTGCCTTACTCAGCTCCTCAGGTGGGATCCTGGCTGCTCAGGAAACCAGATGAGCTCTTGCTCCTCCCCTTAGTGATTTAGTACAAGTCTGGCAAGAGAAGAAGAAGTAGGAAAGCTTTTTTCTCCTGAAGGGTAATAGGGAGAGCTACTATGAGACTCTAAAGATAGGGACTACCTTTTTGGCTGTTCTCCAGTATCTGGCCTGTGGTTTAAGAGAAGAGTAGTCTTGCACTGCAGCTGAATTTCCTTGACTTGGAAGGTGGAAAGGAAGAATGTGTCATCTGTAGCTGGAGGTAAGAAAGTAAAAAGCCAGGGGAGGAGTAGAGGTGAGTGTGATGTGGGATTACTGGGGGAGGGAGGCGGATAGAACCTGTGGCCCAAGTGAGGTGGGGATGGACGTGTTTAGAGATGGACCAGAGGGCGGCAGGGCTGGCAGCAGGGAGAGCATGAATGGCACGATTGCCTTATGTGTTGCTTTTGGAAGATATGGCTATAGTAAATGTTGTGTGGACATTGGAGGTAGGGCATGGGGGATTCCAGAGTCAGAAGCTTGACTCAACACATCACTCTGTAACAGAAACAGTAATGCCTTTCCATGTGGGCCACCCACCTGTGCTTTGTATATCTCAACCCATGAGTTGTTTTCTCCATTGTAGTTTCAGTACTTGTCCTGTCCTCCACTTGTATGCTCAATGCTTGTCAGCTTGTTCTTGGGGACTGTTGTCACCTTAGTATCTGAAGCTCTCAACTATTTGCCAGTTGCTCTGTACAATAAGTTAAAAGTTGTTTTTTTTTTTTTTTTTTTTTACACACTTAAGGTCCCACCATGTTCTACTGCCCCAAATCTGTGCTGGTCATGGCTTTTTCCCTGCACGCTCCTCCATTTGTGCCTTCCTGTGTGTATACAGTGCTTTTCCAAACTCCAGTTCCCTGCCCCCTAGGGAAAGGGAATCTTTTTGTGGACCCATTTAAGAAGTGAGTTAATCTAATAATATCATAACAAAAAAGTAAATTTGATAGAATCAAGATAATGTGTATGTGCTTGAACTTAGTGACTGGTTGGTTACTAATTTGCCTCTTCATGGCTTTTCTCGTTTGTTTTGTTACTTTCAGTCAGTGTGTAACGATTAAGATTAGATTGCATTTTCCCAGGTGAGATAGGTAGCAGCAAGACTCAGCTGTGCCTCATGATAAATCGTTTACTTGTGCCCCCAAAAGTGACAGCTGCAGAGAGCAGAGGAGTTCTTTGGTTTTGCAAGACACCTTAGATCCAGACTGTTTTATTGATGCGGTTGTAAGTTACCAGACTCGATGACAGAGTCTTCCGTATATTGTTTGTGGCTTCTACTGCAGTTAATTCTTTCAGCAGTATGCCTGGCTCGCCATCTTAAGGTGAGGGCTGAGGGGTGTCTGTACCTCCTCGACTTTCAAAATTTGGGCAGTCGTTTTCAGTCTGTTTACCTGTAGTTTGGTGGGCAGTTGCTGGAAAAAATGTGATGTGTTGTGGCATTTTGTTCAGTTCCTCTTCCCTAACCTAGAACAAAACAACAGAACCAGCAATGCTTTGTAATGAGGAATGGAAGTAGATATGTCAAACACATGCAGGGTTTCTTCCTATCTTTCTACCCAAATGTGATCAGAATGTTACTCCAGTTAGCATTTCATTTAGCCAGCTTATTTTGGTGTTTGTGGAAGATGCATCTTTTGTGATAGGGTTAAACACACCCACACACACACACACTCCAGAAGCTTCCTCTCCTATGCATATTTTGGAAATGATATTCCAGGCTTTCAGTGAAAATAAATCTGGACTCCCAACATCTGTGAGATGAATATAAGACCCACTGCACTGCCATTAATCAGGTTTTGGTAGTAGGTTGTACATAAACTGTCTGCATTAACTCAATTTGTAAAAAGTAGAGGGGTTTAGGTGATAAAGCAAACACTGGAAAAATACGACAGAACTAGATGACCTGTTTTTTCTCTTCAGCAGAAGTGTTCATGTCCTTCACTGTAAAATCACCTACTTGTTTCCAAACTGAATTTTTTCCAGCCTGGCTGGTGGTTTCTTCAGTGTCTTTTCCAGGGCATCTCTCTGTAGAGACATTAAAAGCTTTCAGCAGAGTGTATTTTGATGTTGGGGTGGCACTTTGCTGCTTGCCTTCTGCTTTTTTTCATGCGTGGAGGTGGTGGACTTTGATACCAGTGAAAGCCTAGAAATAATGATGTGCTAATAGCCTCAGTGCTCACTCATGAGTGAGTGTTGTCTGCAGTGAGAATTCCCATTTTCTGTTAAGTGGTGTGTCTGTGAAGCTTGCAATGTTGCTGTACACCCAGCAGATGTGAGGATTGGGTAATGAGGCCCTAAGTATTTAGGGAAGTTACTTTGTTACTGCTGAAGAGATTTAAGAATGGTTTTGTTAGAGCTTTGTAATCATGATACTGCTGGCCTCTGCTGCATACAAAAGAGCAGCCCAGTCCTAGAGCTCTGCTGCTGAGGGTAGCCCTTACTCCTGGAAAGACGCAGTGATTATTTTATCAGCCAGGAGGCTGAATTCTACTGTTTTCTGTGTGATAAGCAGTTTTAGCAGTGTTAAACCCAAGCTGAGGACCCGTGGTTGAAATAATCACTATCCTGTTACAAGTTTCCTGAGTTATCTGCTCCCCAGACTTTTACTGCCATAAATAACTGTAGAAGTCAGGCCTCACTGCCAGAAGTGTTAAGTGCTGCAAATAATATAGAGGATGACTCATTTAGTGAGATGAAGGTGGAGCATGAAGCAGTAGGAAGAAAACTGATATACAAAGGAGACATTTTGAATGCAGATGACACACAAAAAAATCTGAACAAAGCAATGTTCAATCATCATAAGAACAAAACAAAAGACTTTTTCAAAAGAAAAAAAGAAAGAAACTCTTCTTTCTAGTGACAAAGGCCATTCTAGCAAAAGCCCAAAGTAGAAGGTATTGCATGCTGAGCGTGTCATTCCTTACCCAAGATAAACTGTGGACTTCATGGGAAGAGATGAATGGAAAATTCTTTCCCATATGTCCAAACTAAAACAGAGTATTCAGCAAGCAGGTTTCTTTCCAGATTGTTTTGTGTTTATGTAAGCTGAGAAAAGAACTTCTCTTCGAGCTAAACAGTTTTGGGAGATCAAGAGTCCTCATAGCTTCAAAGAATGCATACTGAAAGCTATGGAAATGCTAAAATAATGGAAATGCTAAAATAATAACCTGTGTGCACCCTTGTAAATGATAACTCATGATAAGTGGATCAAATTCCCATAGACTGCTCTGTCTGAAACAACAGCTTTTAGTCCTTTTGTTTACCCTCTGTTCACACTCATAGGAGTGTCTTTAAAGGTAGACTTGGAAAAAAGGTACCTGATAGATGATATCCTGCAGCTGCTGGTGCACTAAGGAAGAAAAGTGTCCAGTGCTGCCTATAATTCAGCTCTTGCCACTTCTTGGGAGAAGGGTGTGAAGAGCTTAATGTCACTCTTCAGGGGTGAGGATTAAACACTTTCTCATTTGGCATTATTATGATTCTTTGGACATTAGGAAAAGGTTCTTCAGTGGGAGGACGATTGGTCAGTGGAACAGGCTCACCAGGGAAGTGCTCGTAGCACCAAACCTGTCAGAGTTCAGGGAGTGTCTGGATGATGCTTTTCATCATATGGTTTAGCTTATAGGTAGTCCTGTGAAGAGCAGGGAGTTGGACTCTTGTTATGGGTCCCTTCCAACTTGAGATATTCTGTATAATCTTTTTGAAGCACTGGGGGGTGGGGGGGATAGCAATTACTCCTTTTTTTTTTTTTTTTTTTTTTTTCGGGGTATGCAAATTTCTCTTTTTTTTTTTTTTTTTTTTTTCTGCAATCCCCTCTCCCTAAATGCTGAAACTTGATCATGCAGAGAAACCTAGATACCTGTATCTTAGGTGGAAGCTCTGGCTCTGCTGGCATTTATAGAAAGAGCCACTGTTAAAATTGTAGAGGCTGGTTTATCCTATGGCAAGTATGGTTATTCCTTGGCTTTGTTATGCTAGACCCATAAAATGTTGCTCTCGGAAGTACTGCTCCTGTAGAGCAGTAACACTTAGAAACAGGTATAACAAGGCATCTTAACCTGTACTGCTTGGAGTTCCTTTGTTCAGGATAAAGTGAGGGATAGTCAAAGGACTGAAGGCTTCTCATGTAGCTGTTCCACAGTGTTGGCAATGGCAGGAAATCCTGAGCACACAGGTATTGCTACAAAGGCTTAAAGGGTGCATATACTTATATGGAGCAGAACTATGCACAGGAAGGGAAAGTTCTTGCAAGGATATCTCTATCTCCAGTATTATTGTAAGAATAATCTCAAACCTGGCTGTACTCATCATTCATAGTGCTGTAAGGTCTGTGAGCTCATTTCTTCATTGAAGCTAGTGCTGGACTGACATTCAGCATAAAGCTATTCATGCTTATTCCTGGTCAGTTCCAAAACTTCAGATGTGAATTTATCCCTGTGTTAATGCTGAAAATCCAGAGCTGCAGGTTGTAACTTAGAATATGTATGAGTAATAAAATTTTCTGTTGCATCTGTGTTCAGTGCATGCAGTTGTTCTATTCATAGGTAATCTGCTGGATTTGAGCTCTAATGGAATAATTTATCCTTACAGCAGGTAGCACAGGCCAAATTTTCTATTGCTGCTAAGGGAGAGCTAATAGTTAACTGCTAGTGACAGATTTATGTTTTCACTTGTAGGTTGCCCAGCAGTGGGCCCAGCTCAAATGTAAAATATCGCTTGTAAAAGTTGGCTTTGTTAGTGAAAAGTATGAGGTTCATTTTTAAAAGCTATACTGGTTTTAAGACAAAAAAGTGCCTTCCTCCTGTTGAGAGGATAGAAATTCTCTAAGGAGAAATAGCACAGACTGAGTTTCTGTCAATAAAAGAGTACGTGTAATTTAATACCAGACAGCTTTTTAATACAGGAGGGGGAAAAAAAGAACAGACGCTCACCTATCTTGTGAAGGGGAAAAATACAAAAACCTGCCTGCAGTATGCTACCTAAATTTAGCCACAGAGGAGATAATCCTCTTAGATACTGGAAAATCTGTCTGAGGAAAGTAAGTGAAGGCTATGGGAGAAGCTGTACTCGGAGACCCTCCAGCCGCATTTTCCAGTGTGCTGGCAATAGGAAATGTGTTAGGCAGCACTAGCGCCCAAGACTGTAGGGCGGCACTTGTTTGTTTAGTCCTTCTTTCGAAAGTTTCTCTTTGATCTTCAATAATATAAGTGGCCAAGGTTAAAGATATGTGAATGGCTTGCCTCAAATCACAGAGCTACCAAGAATCACCCTTGGGTTGAGCTTGAATTGTTCCTGTGTCCCAGAAGTGGTGGGATCATGCTTTGGACAACACATATCCATAAATGTATTAAACTTCTTACAAACTCCCAGAAGACCTTCTCCCTCCTGACTTCTGTACTCGAAACCCTATCTGGAAGAGGCATCTGATCCTTTACATAGTGCTAGACAACAAAGAATAAGCTTGAATTGAGAACTCAAAATAAACCTCAGGTTATCATTGAGAACTCAAAATAAACCTCAGGTTATCATTGAGAAGGAAAAAAAATGGATGCTAGCTTCTTGGTCAAATACTAGTTCTAGAATTTTTTTAATCCATTTTGTAATGATTTCTTAGTCCGCGATCAAACGTGAATTGTAGGTTTCTCAGAAGTGTGAATATTTAGGATTTCTGAGGTCTTAGTTGAAGTGTAACCATAAGCCCTGACAGCAGTATTTCTTCTAGTTGTGTGGACTTGAGAAACTAGTTTGTGGCATGTAACTTCCAGTGAGCTTTTTCAAAGAGCAAGTTCTCAGTACTGTTGCTATCTCCTTTGACCACATTCGAAACAAGCCCAGAAGCTGTAAATGACTAAAAACTGCTGCCAACTTCAGTTGCGTTAGCATCCCCATAATACAGTTCTCTGTTATTTAACATCTTGCTGCTGAAGTCTTAAGAGGAGATATACCTGGATGCTTTATGTGTGCAGAAACTGAATCTCAGGGTGCTCACAGCAGGGTCAGAGCCGTAGCAGGGGTCCTGTCTTATAATGATCCTTACCTTGTGTTCATACACTTCTCCAGCCCTGGCAGTGGTACTTTGGCTCTTGATTATTCCCTGCATCCTCAGCTCCTCAAGAATGTCTGATGACTTTTTCCTCTGCTTCCTGTAAGGACCGTGATTGACTGATGAACTCGCTGGTGAGCAGTGCGTCTTCAAAAGATGAAAATGTTGAAACTTAATACTTGTAGAGCACTTGGAATTCAAACAAAACTTCATGATGTATTTCCAGTGCCAGAGTTTTTATTTAAGAGGTTACGTACTGAGAACATCCAGTGGAGAAGGCCTGCTCAAGGGTCTCTTTGCTGCTTAAATTTTGCAGTAAGCTTTTTCATGGCTTGAAAAATGGTGCAGGCACCTAGTGCAGTTTCTCACTGTAGTCAGTTACACCCAGAGGGGCACATTCCGGAAAGCATGGAAGCATGAGCTGAAGGTCTGTGAAGCCAACTTTTGAGCATGTTGCCAGAGAGGGTCCATAGCAAGCTCCTTACAATTCAAGTTCTCAAGGATTCTGTGATCTGGCCAGAGAAAGCCAGGCTGGGATGGGATAGTACAAGCCTACTAATGGGCCATCTTGTAAAGACATACTCTTCTGTTAAACAAACCCAAACTTTCATATGCTTTCGTGGTCTATGATTTTTATTTTACCAGCATTGCCACATATGAGTCTGATCATAAGCATTCCAACACTTAATTATATATTTATAAGCAGCAATTAAGAATAAAAACCAAATTATTTTCATAACCCTTCTGAGTGACTGTTTGTTTTCCACATATTAGACATGAATAAACAACGAACAACTTTCTTGCCAAGACCAATGAGGTTTTTCAACCCTCAGCTGACAGTTCCACCATCTGCCCAACCTCTGTTGGCAGAAGTTAGAGCTTTTGTATGAAGAATGTTTGGACCAAATCAAAATTGCAGTTATTTGACATCTGCCAGTCTTTATAAGCAGAGTGGGTATGACAATGTTGGCTTATTTTTTTAGTTGTAAAACAAAAATACAGAACATCTACCATCTTGTATAAGCTTCCTCCATACTTCTCCTAAAATAACTGAACCAGTCACCCAAAGCGCACTGGGATGCAGCTGTCAGTCAGCACACATAAATGTCAGAAGCCAGTATACAGCAAAACATATCTTGGCAAAAAATAAAAGCATGATGAGTGGGCAATGTTGACAAGTGATGTGAATTTGTATTGGTTTTACTCATCTATTCATTCAGGAGAAAAATGTAGTTGAAATATCTTGGTGTGGTGTGGGTTTTTTGTCTTAAAGCAGAAGATTGAAGCATTATTTCAAAAACCTTCTGTTTAGGAATTTCCTGTGAAGTTATCTTTTAGCAAGTGGGAGGAAAAGAAACTTGAAATTAAATTTAAGCACTTCATTTCAGAGCAAGCAAATTTTGTTCAATCTGAAATGAAATCCTTTCATCACGTCCTTCTGTGGCATTGGGAGTGAAGTCCTCTTTAATGAATAACAAACACCAGTAATTATTCCTTTTGTGTTCAATTTGAAATATTTTATTACAACACTTGTTTATTACAAGGAGTAAACAACTACATTAGAGTTTACATTTAGTGTGTTTGTGAAATGTAAGCTGTTCATGGCACTCAAGATAGAACAGTTAAACTGCAAAATTAGAGGGTTTAAATATGCCAAAGATGGTGCTGCTTTTCCATTAGCAACACTTACTACAAAGGTTTCCTAAGATTATAGAAGAGTTTAAGTGTTCACTTGTACTTAAAAAAACCAAAAATTCTTAGCAGACCTTTGCTTATTGTCATGACGATTTCTGGAATTTTCATAGTTTTCTCTAAGATAACTGGCCCTGCAACTTTTGGTTAAAAACTTAAGGAATAACATTTTACTTACTGTCTCTACCTGATGCTAGTTAGGGGCATTTTATTGACCATTCTGTTGTAAAAACAGACTCATTGTAACAGCAGACTGATAGCCTTCACGTGGGCAATGTGATGTGTCTTCCCAGTGTGCCATAATCCCAGTTAGAGAGGGTTACCCCTGGGGACAAGGCTGAGTTTGTTCCCTGGGTCTGTTCCAGGCGTTTGCGAAGAAAAGTATCTACCCTGCTGCCTGTTCTGGTCGTGAGGGTTGAGTCATGCTGCAGAATATAATCATCAGCTAGGAAATACTTTCTGCTACTCTAGCATGGTTTTAAACCAGTGCTAAGAGCTCAATTCTTGCAGTGTTGCAGCATTAATTTTTCTGGATATAGAACATAGCTGTAGCAATAGAGTCTCAAGATTATTTGCTCCTAGGTCTCTGTTTGTGGAGCTGGTATGAGCTTCAGTTACTGTTTACCTGTGCTTTGTGCATTGCTGCTTTTTTGAGAAGATGTAAATCTTTCTGGTAGTTCTTCAGCGGAGTTTCCCTCACTTGTCTTATTTTCAAGTTTGGCTCCATCCTTTGAAGTGCCTGTTGGCGAAGCTGCCCCATTGTGTGAGGAGAATGCCTCTCTTCCAGCAATGCTGTCATTTTTAGCCTACAGGAAAATGGAGAAACAAATATGAAATATTTAGATATCCTTGGCCTTCTAAATACTCAAGGTGGTATCTAGACTAGTCCCATAGAACTGGCAAGTTCTGAGTGGAGTGGAAGACAGAGGTGTTCCTGGTACTTATCCATGTTCTGTCACAGGCAGATGTTGATGGTGAGGAAAGGTCTTTTTGAACGTTTTGGAAAGGAAGCAATGACCTAAAGCCTAAATGTGTCCGTAATCCGGTTGACTATATTGCAGTACTGTTTCAGTACTTTAAGTGCCTTCTGTGGATCATCGGTTAGAAATTTAAAACTGAGTTTTAAATTAGCACTTCGTAAGGTGTTAACCTGTGCACCTTCGAAACGATAGCTTTGAACCTCTGAAGAATGCAGGATTAGAGCCTAGATGTATGCTTGTCTCTTCTCTGTATGTTTGTGCTAGAGCCAACACAACTCTGCAAACTCGTCAGTGGCTGTGCATGTGTCCTATAGTATTTGCATATATACAAGCCCTCTGCCTCATAATAACTTTTTGAGGCAAAACTCACCTTGCTGCAGTGTTGTAATTCGTCACTGGTATGGGAGATAAGTGCCTCTAACTGTATCTTTAATGAGGCAAGTGAGACAGACTGTGAAAAGCCCCTTGCCAGGTGCTGTAAAGTTGGGTCATGCACATGGCCAAATGGTGAGTCTGCTTTCTCTGTAGCACAAGAGATGTGTTAAGCTGAGTGACAGCCCTTCCTTTAAAGGCCTCCCCGACAGATTCAGAGCTACCGTTAATGTCAGCAAAACCATTTCTTTGTATGCGTATGTCCTTGTACGCTCACGTGCCAAGACATCTGCTAACGTGCTTTGTAGAGTCTGTTTGGAAGAAGTTGCTACCTGGCCTTTGGCTTCCCAGTTGTTCTGCAGCTTCTCGGAAGATAGCTGTGCCACAGCGACCCTGTTAGAAATATTGCAGCCCATGGTGAAACTGTGACCGACTGCTGCTCCTTGCTGCAAGCCCAGGGAGTAGAAATGCCCTAGTCTCTTCCTTGGGAGGTTGGTTACTCGTTATTACCATGGAGTGTAACCGTTGCCATGGCCTGTTGCTACAATAAACAACACCACAGAAGGCTTTCTTCTGATGTCCTGGCATACAGACATCATCATCTTTGTCCAGGCACCCTCATCTGAAGTTGAGAGGGAATGTGTTTCTTCAGCACAGCTGGGATATTGGTCTGAGAGCAGCAAATCTCTGCAGGTCATTCAGGGGGTTAGTGAACCTCCAGTGGGAACTCAAGCAAAGACACTTGAGTATCTCCAGACTTTTTTTTTGCCTTTTCTGTTTTTTTTGATGAAAAAGATACTATCATGTAAAATACACACGCATTCCAGTGTCTGGTTGGATTTCTTAAGTATTCTTCAGCACCATTAGCAATGGGAGAAGATCAGTGCAGAATGAAATTCCACGCAGCAAGGCAAGATTTCAAATGGGAGGAAATCTCATCAGGAGACAAGGACAGGCTGTGACTAGGGAAGATGTTCTAAGTGTCCTTTGAACTCATCGTACAACTTCTTGATTACTGTTTGAGTCTGTTCACATCCCTAGAAGTAGATGTCTGTGGCAGATTTTGGAAAAAAAAAGAAAAAAAAAAAAGCAAGCAGCAATGGTTTATACTTCCAAGAGGTTATTATACAAGATAGCAGAGAAATCTTAAGGCAGTGCTGTCACTTGAAGATGATGTCTTGGGTCACTTGTGATGAGATCCTCAGCTGTTATACTTAGTATAAATAAATTTTTTTTTCACAAATATATTCATGTGAAACACTCTTTGTATGAAATCAAAAGATTCAAAAAAACCTAAATAATTATTAATACCTATGAGGAATTTTTTTTTTTAACTTCCAGAGACCCTGGTAACAAATGAATGTCAGCTTGTGACCTTAATCTGATTCGTAGTGGAAAACTTTCTGTAAAACTTGCCAGATTTCTTTTCCATATATGTGAAATGGAGATGTTTACGTGAGTAATGTGTCTTTCAAGTAGTAAGGCTGGTGAACTTCCAGAGTCAAATGAAGCCCAACACTGAGACAGAGTGACTCCAGCCCAAGAGATCACTCTGGGTGGATGGCTACAGGCAGCCCTATGTATTCTGCTTGTCTCCAGTCCAAACCCTTAGCTGGTCTAATTGGGAAGCTGAATAAACTTATTTGCAGGGCAGTAGCCTGAAGTGATCCTCCCTGCCTCCGTGTGCCTTATTTGATGGTGCAAAGCACTGCAGTAAGGTTGCTGTATGGCTTCCAGCTTGTAGCTAGCGTCTCAGAGTGCATGCATGTGGCTGTACCTACCTGTGCTGGCATCCTAGAGCTGCAAGGAACTCTCAAATGTGTATCTACTGTCTCTTGAGAAACAAGCATCTTCCAATAAATTTTCTTTTTTCACCCCTCATCAACAGTGACTTGATTCTCATGCCCACCCTGAATTGACAAAGAATGCAAGTCAAATAATCTTTTGGTGTGTGGGGTTTTTGTTGTAGTTGCTGTTCTATTTTTTTTTTTTTTTTTCTCCAGAAGGTGTTTGCAGGTTGTATGTGATAGTGCTGAAATATCATTGCTGCTTGATGTATGGCAGAACATGATGTACAGGCTGAGCTTCTTGCTTGCATTTCTGATTAAATGCTTGCTGTGATGGTGCCGTTCTAAAACTTGTTTGTAAGTAAATAATAGGTGAAGTTTTACTTCTTGCAAAAAGGTGATTGATTCCTTCAAAGGCAAATAAGGTAATAAAATGGAAACTGTATGTCAGTTATCAAAGTAAGAAAATGGATTAAATGTAAAATCATAGGCTGTAGCGTAATTAAAAACTAGGTAAACTTTGATTTATGCTTTACAAAGTGATTATTGGTAGGTAAAAAGACAAACAAGTGATAGTTTAAAGAAATAGAGTATACAGGGCGCAACAAGTGGCGTGAAATTGGCCCATATCCATATTTATGAAATGAAAAGAACCTTCTCTGATCTCAACAGAATCTGTACGCTTAGAGACTGATCTTTTAATATCTTATGCACTTGATTAAAATGACATGGTGATCAGTTTGTCTCTAACTATCAGAGCTACAGGCTTTCAAGAGCAGACTGCTCATGTTGATGCTCACTGATGATAGAAAATCTCATTGTAGCAGCTTTTCATCAATCTGTAAAATTGAGAATGAGCAAGTTTGAATACAGTCAAGGCATCAGGATGTGTGGTGTTTGAAAAACAGAGGATAATTCTTCATGAATACAAATATAGGATATTTCCCTTTAAGAAAACCCATGGAACAGAGCCTATGTGAAGCACAACATTGAAGCTGGAGAGAAAGACGAGCTGTGAGAAGGCCTGGTAATGATGGGAAGGGGAAAAAGGTGCAGGTCTTTTTATGCCTTGTCTTGTGAGAATGAAAACAAAAGCCAGTCACAAGGATGTGCATGCTGGGGAAAAATCAGTACAAAATCAGACAGCTGTTTCTGTAATTGCTGGTGTTATGTGGAGGAAATTGAAATGTATGTATACTTTAAAATGAGGAGAATTGTTTTCAAAACTCCCAAATCCAAAGCTGTTTGGTGGCTTGCAGGATGGTTACGAAAACTGAATGGGAGGGAGGACACCTCTGCATCTACAGCCTTATCAGCTGTCTCTGATGGATGCTCCTAAATTAGTGAGCTACTGCAGAGATGTGAGAAAAAGACTGTCCGTGGAATAGCATATGCAGCAACACTTTGCTGGTCTCCGTAAGTGAAAGATTCCCATGTAGTATCATCAGCCTGACATGTGCACAGATAACAAGCACTCTCCTAAGGCTTGGAGGCTGGCTGCAGTTATTAACAAAACAAAGCTTAGCTGATTTGAAGGAGAGAGGAAAATGTCTGACACTTTTAGTCTGACAACATTCC